AAAGGGTACTTAAAGAATTGTTTTCTTACTAATAATTACAAACTGCAAGTGCCAAAAAAAAAAAATCAAACACATGCAATTCCATAGGGAAATGTTGTGTGAACCAGAAACGAAACAGTAGCCATGCTCCTTGACATCACATATTAAGATGACTTTACAAGTCTTGTAATTTGCCATGTCTTCACTTGTTGCAATTGTTTTTCCAGCCAGGAGTTCCTGCTTTTACTGTCCCACAGCCAGAAACAGCCCTGGATGTTGTGGCTAATAGAGCAAAAGAAATAAAGGTACCAGTCAAATTTCTAAATTTTTTTTTAACACCTGAACAATTTTCTGCAGTCATAATATTTATTGTAATCACATTTTCAGGCTCCTCTTCACATCATTCCTCCCTTAGATGACTATCCAGGAGGTTTGCCAGGTATTCCCACTATCTATTTTACCCTTTACCCTCAGTTTCATGATCTTAGAACTAATTCTCTTTACTGCCTGCCATAAATCAATATTTTTCTAGAGTCACTGTTATTGCCTGCTTGTTTGTAAACACAATGTCGGTATTTACTGACTGGCCATTCCCAGGAAATTACATAAATGGGAAGGGGTTTAGGAATAGGATTGCATACATGTACTCCATATCCTTATTCATATTTTTTGGGGAAAAATGTAATTTTAATTTTTAAAATAACTAATAATGAAGGGGAACAATTTACATGTTTCTTTGAGAGAGGAGAATTACCAGTAATGGCTGCCACTTACCTGCAAAAAAAACTTTATGTTAAATTCATATTTATACTTCTTATGTGCTCTGATTAGATAATGTCACTCACATTTCTTTTTTTCATTTTTGGGTACTTTTTAAGTTCTTGGTCTGGAAGGAGATCACCAGTTATTGAATGCATCCCTCGCCGTACAGCTTTGTCAAACATGGGTTTCAAGAAGATACACAAAGGATGATAATCATGAAGGTTTGATTTTCATTTAGTTGATTGATTATTTGAATAATTAGCATTCAGATATTTTGTTAAAGAAATACATACTCTTGAGGGTAAGTGAGAATGCACAGTAGAAAGGGCAACCCTTTGTGCTAAGGAAAAGTTTGAATTGGTTTTGAAATTTATGCAGAACTACATTTCATTTGGTTTTCACTCGATGCTGTGCTCTGTGTGAATGATTTTGAGTAATTGCATGCGTCCCTCAACTAGTTATGAATTGCAACATAAACACAAAAACTAATTGTGACGTAGATTTCTCATGTATTTCTCTCTTTTATTCATGTAATTTTGACCAAAAAACCTGACACTTTTATATTCTTGGCCAATTCAGTGCCTTGGTTGTGCTATGAAGCATTGTTTTCTTGAGGCCCTCAGTATATTTAATCCTTGTGTTGTCAAACTTAGGATCACTTCCCACACTGATTTAACTAGAGATATCTCAGATTATGTTTACTGGACCATTGAGAGTTGCCAATAATGCAAAGTTCTCAACAGTATTTAAAGGTCAAATAAATGTTTCCATTTCTTCTCTATCATCTAGTGGAAAACGAAACAAGTGTAGAAGAAGCACCCAGGGAAGAGAAGTTGTCAAGTGAACCCTTGACCAAAAAAGCTAAAATTGAAGTTCCTGTTGCACAAACATTTGAAATCTCCAATACTTTTAGAAGTGGTAAGAAAACAGTTCATCTATTTCAGTTATTAGTCAAATATCAATTTGAAAATGACTTTACTTTCTGTGACTCAGGCCTATTACTGTTTAAATTATGTGCTCTCTGCAACTGGTTCTGTCCTAACATGTTAAACAAATTAAAGCTTTGTCAATTAGCAAGCAGTTTTTGACTTCAATTAATTTTTATGTCTCAAATGTCAAAAAAGTAATTTTAATTAAGTATGAATTGGATTACCAGAGGATGTTATTTCTCTGTCTTTTTAACCCATAAACCCTAATGTCACTATGCACATTCTTTGGTTTGCTTGTTATCTAAGAAGATACATTTCCTATGGTGCTGACAATAAGAAATTGCGTAACAATCAAAAGCTTCTTCAGCTGGAGATCATTTCTATCATTCTTGTGACCTTAATGTTTGATTCAGGGGTGATATTGTAAGGAAGAATTCTATTCCAGTTACAAGACAGGTGTCCTGTATTAGGAACCCTTATTAATCAACTTTTATATCTGCTCCTGTTGAATAAAGACATCCTTTGAATACAGGTTCATCTTACAGTAGATGTGGCAGGAAAGTTTGGGCCTTGGGCAAGTGTCCAGGCAATGTGGGGTTTGAAAAACAAGGCATCACTGCATTTCTTATTTTAATTGTACCAGGATTGAAAAATACCAGATGGTGTGGACGAAACCAAGTCATTGTTAGGCCGGCAGTTACTTTTTATCTGGATGGTGCTCACACACCAAGAAGTATGGAGGTACAGGAATACATACACTGTCTGATAGCGATTTAAAGTTAAGAATCAAACTAGAACATGTAAAGGCTGGTGTCATCATAACACAATTTTCAATCAAGTACTGTATCAATAGTGTCACTGGATTGCTTTGTTTTTCCTTTACTTTGCTCTTTAATTTATCAAGAAAACTCACACCACTCTTTCAACCAATCGGTTGTGAAACTAAAACCAATTATTACTAGATTGCCAATATTTTCCCATGCTTTAGGCAGTTTGGTTGATTTTACTTTGACCTCTTTTCTTTACTGCCCTTAATTCTAATTGGCTGATGTGATCACATTGGTTTTGATTATACAACACTCGATTGAAAAGCACCCCACATATAAACCAGTTCTAAGTTAGGTCCATAGCTTTATAAGGGTATAAGTTGATAGCATGAGGAGGAAAACACCAGCTGACAAGGCTTTCCCGTGTGAACAGATGTTATGTGCTTAAAATATATATTCAAAATTGTATTTGGATGCCTGAAACAGGAACACGTCCTTGCTTCCATTTCTTACCCTTCATTTAGTCTCAACAACCAAACAAAATTGTCTTTTGTATTTGATTTACTTGCGATCATACTTATAGAGTGGGTTCAAAGTTTAGCTTCACGACCACATCCACTCTCCTTTACATACTGTACAAATTCTCTAGAAGCACCACACATAAGTGATGTAATGTTCAGAGATTTTATGTCTTTGTTTAAAATTTGCAGCCTTTTGATTACTTGCATTTAGGGTGATCTGCTGTAACTAAGAGCAGATAGAGAAAACTGATAATAACATGAGGGGGTAGTGGTGAGTTAGTTGGAAAAAGAGAATAGTGGCGATGAAAAAGGTCTGGCTCATTTTACACTTAAAGGATTTTCATATTCTGGTGTTTTAGGCCTGTGCCAGGTGGTTTAAAAGGAGAGCTGATGAGGAAAAAGAAAAAGAAAGGTGATGTATAGAATGAGCAATAAATTAAATGCAAATGAGATTTCCCATGCAGTTAAACTAGTAATCTGATGAAGGAACAGATCAGAAGACAAGACATTTTAGTGTAAAATTGATGTAAACTTTCTGAGTCTAGGATCAAGATAAAAGGCACACTGTGACATTTTCCTGTCTTTCATTTGTGTTTGTGTTATAGTGGGACTGTTGCACGAGTGTTGCTTTTCAACTTGACTGGTGGGCGTGATCCTCATGGTCTTCTGAAACCAGTCATGGTATGTATTTTATTAAATCGTTCCTATTTTTATTGATTGAAATAGAATTAACAATGTTTTGATTCACTAAACTTGCAGCATGAATGATTATCTTGAAAGAGGAAATGTTAGTGGCAGTTGAATGAGTGCTTATTGATGGATAAGTGATAACAAGACGTATCATGTTATCCACCGGATAGAGATTTATCTAGGGGATAGCATTATCCGATCTTTGAACAACCAGGGCCTGCTGATTACTTAGAATCCCTTTGGTGATTTCATGTGTTCATGAGTCCTACGTTTTTCATTTTTCAGAAATGTGATTTTGATCATGCAATTTTCTGCCCCAATAACATCAATCTGAATTTGAAAAGCAGTGATTCAGGTATATGATGTCAAGTAATTTTATTTTGATATTTTGAAGTCATTTGAAGCATTCTTTGCATTGATCCCTGTCGCATGTTTTTTTTTTTTTTCCTAATTTTTCTTTCTCAGATCTGACAAATTTTACTGTAAGTCGTGATAACCAGTTACGATGGTGTGTGGAAAACCAACGTGTCTGGATGGCTCTGAGAGGTGCAGGATTCCAAGCCCATGCAGACCCAACAGGGAACTGTACAGAAATTACAAATGGCCACCATGTGATCAAGAATGGTCTTGATGATGGCCCATATTCAACCATATTTCCTTGTGTTTCTCAAGCTATTCGTTGGTTACTGGGAGGGAAAGATCCTCTCATAGAGGAATTTTGCCAGGAGGATCTGCCAGTACCAGATTTTATTACAAAGGCTTCAAGAGTTCAGGTTCTAGTTGGAGGAAGTTTGCATCTTGTTGGTACTGTCATGAAAGTTCTGGGACCAGAAATTGTGGGAGATGTTTAGAAAGGATATGAAAAGGGTATCCATTTTCACAGGATGCTGTATTAAGAGGTCACAGAGAGTTATTCAGCTATTTACAGTGTGTGTGAAAAGGACTTGATAATCAGTGATTTAAAACTTGATTTCTTAAAAATGATGAAGTTTTTATGGTTGAAACCCAGATGTAAGAAATATGCTGACCGAAGTAAATGTGACATACTTAATGATATAACTTTGAGAAGAATTTTCAATAACTCAACTGACTGGACTAAGAAAATTAGTTGTTATGATATGTAAGGCAGATAATGAGGCCACATTGACTTAGCTATTTTAGTGAAACTTTTGTTTAATAGTTTGTATATATAGATATATTTATGTTTGTAAATTACTTGCAACAGTTATGTCGTTGAAATCCTGTTTCTCCAAAAAACATACCAAATTCTGGTGGCACATGATTCCAACAGTAGAAGCTCTATTTAGAAAATTAAAAAGTTATTTTACTCAATTTGTAAGCTGTATACAAAGTTTAGATTATTGCATTTTATTTTGTTATGGGTTGAATGGCAACAAAAGCAGAGGAATCAGCTAGGGTGTTGATGGAATTTTAACACAAATGTTAGAACTTACAGCTGCATTAGATTAATATTACTGTAAATCTAGAAAAATTCATTAAGATTTCTAGTCCATTGTTTCATTCTAAGTTTTATTCTCCTCTCTCAGTCTGTAAATGTTGCATAATACCCAAATTCTTTGGTTTGGAAATGTATTCTGTTAGAATCATGTGCCTCAGACATAGACTGTGTATGCTTTAGTAAGATTTCTCAATGAAATAATTGGCAAATTTCTTAGATGCAAGTATGTGAACTAGTTGATCTCCAGCCAATTACATGTAGACCACTTGGAATGAATTAGTGTATGTTTTATTGCAGAGTATTGTTGCAAGAAACATGTAAAAATTTTGAAATAATGAAGATTTCCTTTAGGGATTTGAATCACAGATGGTTTTTCTTTTTTAATTTATGAATTTAAAAGACTGTCTCCCTTGATATAGAATGGATTTGTGTAAATAATTAAAGGTATTAAACAATCTTAGATTCATACATTACCTGTACAGAAGTCATAAATGCAAATAAAGAACAAATTTTGTTACAAAGATAAAACATCACAAAGATGGACAAAAACATTTCAGTGTCAATTTATTCAAAATTGGTTGAAAGGGTAATATGTACTCTGTTTCATGAAGCTCTAATTAAATCAACCTTAATACAAACTTGCCAGCAAGCCAAGACATTAAACAATTTAATTATTACCATTTGTGTCTAACATTTTTTTCAGTTGTGCAATCTGCTTGGTACCCAGAAAACAACAGTTCAATGCAACCATGCGTGGAAAACAGGCATTTTTTTTTTATAAATGGCCAGCCATCAACACAATGTTTATGAAAACTATACAAAATAATGTCTGTTTTTCAAGATCATTGAACACAACTATTTTGAAAACTAAACCTGTTACACTCCAAATAGTGCTTAAGAGTGACAATACACAAAAAAACCCTTTTCTGGTGTCCATGGAAACTTCTCCATTAACTGGAAAGAGACATCAAAGCCTGAGCTGCAGCATAGTCATTCCACGGTTGTGTGTTGCCTGCCAGTGTGATGACTGTTTAAATAACAAAGAGGCAGCAAGAATGTTGAGTTTTTCAGTATTTCACTTCTATTATGGTAAGCTATTTGTCCATTCTCGTAAACACCCTTTCATTTATAAAAGCCACTTTAAATTTAAAGCTAACTTCCCCACTCAACTTTTGAAGACAGTGTGGGTACTGAAAAAAACATATTTTGCAGATCTTCACACTGGTAAGAATTTTTCCCTCTGTACAAAGCTTGATTTAACCCCCACCCACTTCACAAACCTGAAGAGTAATATGTCTGATTAACTTGATCGAACTCAAAGGCAGCCTAGATACCTCAACAAGAACAAGTTTGTGGTTGAAGGTGTGTCAAAGTTGATAGAATCGACAGAAATATTTATATTAATATAAACGGACCTGGATGTATTATGACAGAGGGAAATGAACCGAGAACAATGTTTCCTTGTCTGGCCATGCCAATCAATGTCTCAAGGGTTGACAACAGATCAAAGTCACGTGCTTCTAACAGAGTCGATAGGAATATCTCAGAGACATCTGGGAATAGGCTTGCAAGAATCCCCAAACTTCTCGTTACCCTGTTGCAGTCGGCAAGTCGTGGAGCTGCCTTAAAGCCCGACGGTTCTGGGTGGTCTGAGGAGTTTTTGGGTAGGGCTGAAATAGTTAATTAACAGCAGTTACTTTATAATTATAGTACAATTTCGGAAACGTTCAGGAATAGAAAGTAGCGAATAAATCCTAATAATCAAAATGAACCTCAAAAACGTTCGTGACTTCTGTCTGGGCTTGTGTTGAAAGGATATCTGACACGACTGGAAGTTAAGCTGAGAATCCCCTTCCACAAAAAGACACAAAATTACACAAAAATCAAAAAAGAGAATCTAGACGCTGGAAATAAACAAAGGATTTTTTTTCTTTTATGAGAAACTTAAGGAAGATCTAGTCGATCGATTGTATAACATTATAAAGCAAAGTCTCTTTGAGTTGCGTTCCTTTTAAATCGGAGGCGACTGCCTGCGTTTCCTTACTGACCCTTACTGAAGGCAGCAATTCCTTTCTCTATAACGATGCAATAATATTTCTCTGGTGTCCTTTTCTCACAAAATTCAGAAACTGCCACCACACTTAGATTCCTGGATAAACAGGTTTTCTGTGGACATCATGTAAGAAAAAATACTCTATAACATACATACGTGTTGAGAACGATTTTGTGATGGGGTAGTCGTTTCGGTAGATTATGGGCTGAAAGAAAGTCTCTTAAACCAAAGCACCACTTACGAAATTTCTTCGGTTGGTTAACAAATGAGATCCGAAAGACCGATTTGATACCGGCTAAAAGTCTGGAATTACCTAAAGTCTGATTGAACTCACCACGTGAAGACCGAAAATCTTGTTTACACGCTGTCTGCTGCGAATCCTCCACAAGCAGCCGATCATTTGTTCGCCGTCTTATAGCTACTTGGGCAGCCATTATCCGTCTTCTCTTAGTTATCAAAATACAGTTTTGACACTCACAATCCTTCCACTTACAAAATCTTTTATGCCCTTTCAGTGTGGTCCGAACACCATGGTGCTTGCATCGCGCACATAGTGGTGTCTTTTTCTGCGAAAGAAGCATTGATCCCTGTTCTATAGACATTTTTTTGATAAAAATCCTCAATAGTCTAGCTTGAAATTGGGTCAGGACTTAGATTGAGGCCTTTGAAGAGTTAAACCGTCGCCACGATGGCGAATAAACTTGTCAAAATTGTTACGATCGGTCATCAAAGGCCAAGGGCAGTTGCAAATAGTTGGGCAATGGGATGACCAAAAAAGGGCGCGATAAAAGTTTTCCCGCCAAATGCTGAGTGACAACAACTAAGAAACGACGACTTGACGCCTTTTCCCATTGTCTCAAACGATAAAACAACCAAAAAGATCTCTCTACTTTAAGAGAGAGAGAGTAACTATCAAATTTAACCCTTTTTTCAAACACCTTGTCCGTCTAAGCACACTTTTTGTTCTCACTAAACTTGGGCTTATGGAGCGAATTCCGCAAAACGCATCAGGTGATGAGTGACACTTGCATTCACCAATGGCGTGCGTGAAAATTTCCTCAAGGGATGTTACCTCTTGGAAAACCCATCAATTTTGTTGTTTGTTTCTTTTACAAGACGAACCGCACCAGACATAGACTCATGACACTGACCCGTCTTGGTACAGCAAACCCATTTTAATGATCGACTAGGATAAGTATTTTAGTCTCAAAGAAGGCAAATACAACAGTAGAACTGGCAACCAGGCAGCTGTTACTTGCCAACTTTCTACTCAACTTCCCATAAAAAAGGATTAACCTTAAACTTCATCAACAACGACATCTACCTGAACTGTATTGATTCCAAATTTTTATTTATAAAAGATACCAAACACACAAAGACCAAATTAAAAAGCCATGTCTTGGCAACATTTCAGCCTTTGTTCTATACCATCAAATCAATAGAGAATCACCTTTCCTAGTTTTACAATATATGTTAAGTTTATTAAGACAATAACTTCCAAAATCCCTTAAATATTTTCTTCATTATTCTGTTTGAATATAAGTTGTGAGGCTAGTCAGCTGGTTTCACTTCCATGGCTTGTTCAATTTGAGTCAGTGCACTGTCCCACTGAACAAACTGTTTTGAAAGGAGATTTATCTGTTATGTAACAATTAAGGTAGAGAAAGTACTTTTATTTATGAATTTGTAATAACATTTATAATTTGATTGGTTCTTACAAAGGAAAAGGAGGTCATACATTTGTTCAGCAATATATCACTGATGACACAAAAATGTAGCTAGAACATCAATGACAGACTAACCTTCAATGCTATCTTTTTATTCATTGCATAATCTGATGAAACTGTGATCTTGCCATGAGTGAACCATTAATGGTCAAATCAAAAGGGAAATAGCCTTTTCTTAGTCTTGTCCAAATCTCTTCTAGTGCTGAGTAAGTTTTGACCTATTACACTAAAATGTTGTTGACTATGGCCTTGGTCCAAGAAATCTTACTAAAGTCTAAGATGAGAAAGGAAAACACACCTTTACAAGGTGTAGTTAAGGCTAAGGGTTTCAGAGAACCAGTGACTCAGACTGACCCAGAGATCATCACACTTCCCAATCTGCTTATTGAATGGAACATGTCCTCTTGATGTGGAATACATAACAAGAACAATTTAAAAGGATACAATTTTATTGTAAGCAGCTAGAAGATTATGTAATCTTTCATCAGTCACATCAAATTCTTCCTATAACAGAATATATATAACATCTTTAAATTTTTTTTTCTAGCACCATTCAGTGTTTATCTTGGAAAATATGAACTGCTAGGTTGTGGTTCAGTTTTTCACTTGATTTAATTTTGTTCAAACCAGTTTTGAGTATGAGAACGAGACAAAGAGAAATGAAACCTAAACTGTCACCAAAAAGTTTTAAATAAGAATAACATGGTGAACCACAACACACAAACCACATCAGTGAAAGGGATTTCTTCTAGAATTCAGTTGAATGCTTATTTTCAGTTGTGGGGCAATTATGAGATATTTCAAATACCTTTTGCTGAATATGAAGTTCTACCAGTGGTTGCAGTTTGGCAGACCAAGTAGGCAAATCTGTGTTTCAATTTAAAATAAAGTCAGGACAATAAATCTAAGACTAAGAGTCTTTCCCCACTAGCAGACAAAACTAGAACTGTCGCGACACAAATCACACAACAAATCTTTTGTATCATTTGTTGCATCTACATTAAAAATTTCAAAGCCATTAAATTCAGTCAGTGCCTAATCTGCTCCTAAGACCAGCCAGCATAGTTTGCCAAAGGATTCCAGCTCCAATTTCCACAATTTATCCTAGGTCATTTTCAAATTTTACAATCCCAGAGTTTTGCAACAGAGACAATTTTTGCCTTTCTAGTAAACTGATTTTACTTCAATTACACGCTTGTTGTAGCTTTTACAACAAATGATCAACAAGTTTATTACTATTTCATTTATTAAGTCCCTTTTCTCCAGTTTTTACCAGGGACAAATTTTGTCAATGGCACAATTGTAGATTTTTCTCCTTTGGCCAAAATTTATTAAACCATCCATACTTGTAAAATGTTGGTGGTGACAGAAAATTTGGCTAAATAAACAACTTTTTTGCTAGTGTGGAAAGGCCCTAAACAATGCATTATTCTGAAATATATCTATTCATAGGAAGACCAAATTGGCATTGATTTTAAGTATTTCTGACAAGTATCTTCAAGCAGAATTTCCATTTGACTATATTCAGGATGCATTTAGACATTTTTCAGGACCCAAAAGAATAATACTTATCAATAAGAGCAAAAATAGTCTTTAAAAAGATAAAAACTGAAACTTACAGTTTGAAAAGAGTAAGATTGGCTTAACATGCTAGAAATTAAGACTCTCAACTAAAGATTATGTGATAAAATAAATATGTTGAATTGTAAAACTGCTTCAAACCTTTAATGGGTTCTGTGGTCACAACCTTTTTCAAATCTTCAACTTGCCGAAGCTGATCAGCACATACCTTTAGCTGGCCCTCACCTATGGATGTCAGGATATTTTTTCAAATTAACACAGTTATATCACAAAGTAAAATAATGGTATTTGAAGACTGAAATAATAATCATTTCAAACATAGAAATCAAAGGAGGTAGGTCAAAGTGGGTCCTATATCAACACAAAGCCTTTATACTAATCAATAGGAAAGGGCTAACATGATTTAAAAATTGTCCACCCAAGCCCTACATCCCCCTTTTCAATAGGGATTTCTAATGATGAGTGAATAACTAATGCCATCAATTGGAAATCAGAGAGGTATCATACCCTGTTGAAATGTCTTTTGCATGTCTTTTGAACTCAAGACACAAAACACACACTAACCTGCTATGATTATGTCAGCTTTAGCATCATCTGTTAGTGTTGCCTCTTCCAAAAACTCAGGAGAGAGAAATTTCTCCAGCTCCTTAACTGATGATAAGAAAATGGGAACAGCAATTCGACTCAAACGACTCGCAGATTGTATTAAGAAACACATCTGATACGAATACACATGCGCAACTACTGTAGAATTGGTAAGCGCTGAACTCTATTGACCCGATCGGACGAACGAGTGAGCTATGTGAGAAAATTACGTTAACAGGTGATCTCCATTGAATTTTTTTTTTCTAATACCTTTATTGAGTACAATTTAGTTCAGTTTATTTGGTACACCCAAGCCCAGCTGTTATGATTAGCTTCTCAATCTAGGAACTACAGTCACTGTAGTGTGTAACAGTGATATTTTCATTAATAAAAAAATAAATGTGCCATACCTTTCTTCCACACTGCTGCTATTTTAGCATGTTTTGATCCAATTCTATCGAGATTTTTCTGAACATTGTTCAAAGTTCCCAAACACTTGGAAAAAATCAGACAAACATTTCAATCAATTTTAGTTACCTAATTATGTGCGATCACGCCATCAATAAATATCACTGTAGTTACCGATGACCCTTTAAGACTTAGGACGTCTTTTTCACTGGTAAAGATCCGTCTTTCCAAGTCAGAAATTCGTTTTTCAAGACAATCTACTGCCGCTCCTTGTTCCTTGGCAGCCATATTTGTTTATTGGTGAGAGATTAGAGCCCGCAGTACAACAGCGAGGAGCTTCCTATTTCATATAAAATGCATCAAATTTGTGTGGAAAGTGAGCTGTTACATAATCACGCCGAAATGGCGGCTAAACAACAGAGAGTGCATCATACAATTCATTGGTTTCGTAAAGGACTACGTCTTCACGATAACCTTTCCCTTAAGGAAGCTTGTGAAACAAGTTTAACGCTCAGACCAGTGTACTTTATTGATCCAGAGTATGTGAAGCGTGGAAACATGGGATTCAATCGATGGAGATTTCTGATTCAGTCTCTCAATGACTTGGACAACAATTTGAAGAGTTTAGGGTCGAGGTTAGACAATTTAGAGATATTCCGTACCTTCATACCTTTTAGAACAAAGAAAAAATAATTAAATATCTTTTTTTCGTGCCAAAAAAAAAAAATGGCCAAACCAAGTGGTATCAGCCCAGATAAATAGATTCCATGTTGCTGTGCATCTTGTAGCTGATCAGAGATGACATCAAAATTTTATAATAATAAAAATTGAGGTATATGAGACACAGCCGAGTGTTTTTTTTACCAAATTTTGACGTCTTCAGTGACCTGTTGCAGAACAGACCCACGGCAGCATGGAATAAACTTGTTCTGCACAATAAAGAAACAACTTTTTGTTACTGGTTACATCATCTAAAAGTATGTTTCTGTCCTCCTACACATTATAAGGAAGAATCAGTTAAAATATTTGTATTATTCAGCTTTCTATATCATATTGAATGAATCAATGAATGATATCATTAATTACTGACTATTTTGTTTATGATAATTTTAGCTGATTTTTGAGACCAGCTCAATGATCTTCCTATGTCTTTTCCATTATTCCTTTTTTTATCATAGGTTATTTGTTATTCAGGGGAAGCCTGAATTGGAATTACCTAAACTTTTCAAAGCATGGAAGATCACAAAATTGACATTTGAATTTGATCATGAGCCTGAGGGAAGGCAAAGAGATGCAAAGGTTCATGAACTTGCTACCAAAGCTGGAATTGAAGTTGAAACAAAAGTCTGCCACTCACTTTATGACTTGGATAAGTAAGTGACAATCTTAAAAATTTTAAAAAGTTACATTTTGTTTGACTACCCTTTGCACCAAAAATATACGGATGAACACTTTGCCTTGCTGAAAATACTCTGAAAAGGGCCAAAAAAAATTAAACTTGGACAAAGGAAACTAGATACTTCAAACTAGACCTCTCATTAAAAGTCACAAACAAGACACAAACTCAATACTTTAGTCATCAATTAGACTAAACAAAGCTGTCTCACTAAAGTAAGTTCCAAAAGTGAGTGTACAGTGACTGTAGGGTGAAGTTTGCATTGTGGTCTACTCATGGTACTCTGTACAGATAAAGTACTTTGTCTAGTGACAGATAGAATCTACTTTCCACAAGTTTTATTGCAGAAACTCTCCCCTTTCTCAAGAATTTTGTTGGAATTTGATAATCAGGACTCAAGAATGTGAAAGCTTTGAATAAACTTCTGTGAGATAGGTGTCTGGAATTCTTTTGCCAGTCATAAATCTACATGTTGTAATAGGCAATTACTGATTTAATCTTCTTTCAGGATTATTGCCAAGAATGGTGGAACAGCCCCCCTAACCTACAAGAAGCTTTGTTCAGTGGTGGCATCACTGGGGTCACCTTTGAAGCCGATTCCCACAGTAGACAAAAGTACTTTTGATGGCTGCTCTACTCCAGTGGGTAAAGGAAATGAGTACCAGTTGCCAACACTTGAGGAGCTGGAAATTGAAACACCTGAAGAGTCAAGTACAGTCCTTTTCCCTGGTGGGGAGTCAGAAGCTCTTAGACGACTTGATGAACATATGCAGAAAGAGGTCTGAAAGTTTTTCTTAATCAATAATTAAATGCTCATACAGAGTTTCATGTTTATCTTATATTTAATGAGATCAAAAGTTTCTTAGAGGATTAAACTTGAATTAGTTGTAGTTTGTTGGTATCTTCAACCTGTCAGGTAATGAACCTTACTTATAGGGAAAGGACACACCCTTCAAAAACCAACATCAAGTGTCACAAGCTAGGCCCTCTGCTGGAATCCCCAGAGTAAGGGAAAGAGAGGGCAACCAAGGAACACCTGGTGTTCCTCGATCAGGAGGGTCTTAGTCTATAAAGAATAAACTTACAGGGCAAACTGAGAGAAAAGATCTTAATCTAATTTGCAGCCCTTGAACAAAAACAGTTCTGCTTAACATCATTCCTCTGAAATGAAACCTTTGCTCTGGGAATTCATCAGTTGCAGCAACAAGTAATGGTTTATTTTGGATAGGTCTTTGCATGTTCAACGAGACTATCATCTTGTAGATATCATTTATTTATTCTGCTTCCATTAAAGTTGATCACATTTTCCTGCAGGATTGGGTGAACAAGTTTGAGAAGCCTAACACATCACCCAATTCTCTCCAACCAAGCACTACTGTTCTTAGTCCATATGTGGTGTTTGGCTGTCTCTCAGCAAGGCTGTTTTATCACAGACTGTCTGATGTGTATTCGAGAGTAAGTCATCATATCAGGTGCACCCTTTAGTTGTCACTTGAAATGTGTATGATCATTCTAGAGATGACATCAGTTATTGGTAAATTATTGAAGATTGTAATGTATAGGAGATAGTTGATAAAGGGGAAGCTATGAAATTCAGTGTTTATCTGTCAAAAAATTGAACCTGGAAAGTGAATTTAAATTTAAGCTTACTTTCTGTGAAGTTTAAGGCAATGCAACTTTCAGATCTTTCTTTTAATGTTATCTACCATATGAAACAATGAAACAATTGAAAGTGGTGAGATTCCTTTTAATTGACCAGATGCAGAACTATTGACAAAACTACTTTTTCTATTCAGGCGAAGAAACACTCTAACCCACCAGTTTCCTTACATGGACAGCTCCTGTGGCGGGAATTCTTCTATACAGCAGCATATGCTACACCTAACTTTAACAAAATGGAGGGCAATCCAGTCTGTTTGCAAATTCCATGGAACAATAACCAAGAGTTTATCCAAGCTTGGTCTGAAGTATGTATTGTTCATAGTGCCAGATTAATTCACTCCCTTTAGGCTCTGGAATAGATTTAGACACAACACAGGTAACAAATAAGCTTCTAAAAGTTGTGCATACTGGTATATGTACCTAGAAGAATTATTGATACTGAAGAAAAATATCCTAAATAATTTTTGCATGATTTGTGCTCTCCATAATTTTTGCGTGATTTGTGCTCTCCATAATTTTTGCATGATTTTGCTGATAATCACCAACCAAAGAAGCTCTTGATTATTGAAGAAATTCTCCTTGTCAGAATCCTAGGAAGTGTTTAAAGAGTAGTATGGAGAATATGCATTCTGATGTCAGGGAGTTAAAGGGTTAAACCCATTAGGAATTAGCAATTGAAAGCTGTAGCAGACCGTTTTTGAGTGAAAATTTGCAGAAAATTATAGCAGGTCCTTTGTAATTTGTTTCATCACAGGCACGCACTGGATATCCTTTTATTGATGCCATCATGACTCAACTAAGGAGAGAGGGTTGGATTCATCACTTGGCACGTCATGCTGTAGCTTGTTTCTTAACAAGAGGAGACTTGTGGATTAGTTGGGAAGAAGGACTGAAGGTGCAGTAGAAATCAGTGCTTCTATATAAGAGAATCTCCATAGTGTGGAATAAATTAAGAGAGGAAACAGAGACTCAGAAAATTTTCTTCCTTCCACAAGTTACTGTTGATGAGTCCTAACTTGAAAGGCATGAATTATTGAGGTAGCTGCTAATTGTGGTCAATAGCATTCATGACAGTTACAAGCTGCTATAACTTTTCAGTTGCATTATTTTACTGTGGCAGGTGTTTGAGAAGTTGCTTCTTGATCATGACTGGAGTTTAAATGCTGGCAACTGGATGTGGCTGTCTGCAAGTGCATTTTTTCATGCTTACTTCAGGGTTTACAGCCCCATTGCATTTGGTAAGAAAACAGACCCTAATGGAGATTATATCAAGTGAGTGTTTTCTTTACACTTTTTTTCAAACATTAAGTCATTATCTTAATGTTTAACACTTTCCTCAGAGAACAGAGTGCATTCAAAAGGAAATTCACTGGAATTGTTTTTGCAATTTATAAATACTATTTACAAGAAACTATTTAAACTTGACATATTCGGGGTAAACAGCAAAATCAGTATTCCTTTGATTTTTTTGTTTTTTTGTTAGTGATTTGGACTCAGAATTAAAAGGTCTGAGTTTGAGCCATGGCAAGCCATTTTGTTTTGTCATTTGCAAAACACTCAATCCTCACTGTTAGTCAACTTTTACTTCCTCTGCACCAAGGATTATACAGCAAAATTATTAGCAAAACATGATGGAATTAATAGGGGTTACTTACAATGATCTAGGATTCCATTCAGGGGAAATAGCAGTACCTCCACATGAAGCTGCTTCATCTAGGACAGAAACTTAGTAATTCAATCTCAAATGAGAATTCCTCTTTTTGTTAAAAAGGAAATACATTCCAATTTTGAAGAAATATCCACCCAAGTACATCTATGAGCCCTGGACTGCTCCGGTGAGCATACAGAAAACAGCAGGATGTGTGATTGGGAAAGATTATCCACGTCCAATTGTGGATCACAAAGAAGTTGTTAAAATCAATATCGCACAGATGAAAAAAGCCAGAACAGAACGTGATGGTGATACTGGTATGGAGGAAGGTAACACATGTCTGATAGAATTTAGGGCTACACAATGATTATTTTTGTTGGTCAGATAATCTTAGTTTCAGAACATTTTGTGGGAAATTTGTTCTTTCCTTTCCTTAGTATCTTCACAAACATTGTAAATATCAGAATTGATATGCCACAGGGAAGAAAAAAAAGGGAAATCAAGGGTACATCTGCCATTATGGTTACTGTAATAGGATTCTGCTCCTTCCTTTAGAGCACTTTTCAACAGTGTCTGGAAACCGTAACCTGTAAGACTAA